GGTTCCGCCCCCTGCGCCGGCCGAGGCGTAGCTGGCAAGCGGCAGAGACGGAGCAGGCCGACCACCAGCTGGCCCAGCCCAAGGGAGGTAAGGCACCCGCCGGAAAAGGGGGGAAAAAATGGCAGACAGCTTTGCTTGGCGACCCCCGTGAAATGGTCAATCGACCCCAAATGGGGTCCCGACCCACAGGTTGAGAACCACTGGGGTAAGGCTAGTCCTCAAGGCCTCTGGGGCTCACCACAAGACTGAGAGGCGTGAGAAGCAAAGCAGAGGCTGCAGTCCGAGGGCTAGAAAAGAGAGAACAAGACTGGATGTGCCCAGTTCCCGCTTCTTTACCCCAACGTCTCCCTCCCAGGTAGGTGAGGTGCCTCTGGAGAAGGCTGCCCCTCAGCAGCACGGAGTGGCAGAAGGTAGGGCTCCTCTGCCTCTCTGGGTCAGTCCCCCAACTGCCCCCTCCCACACTGGCTGGAGACACAGAGGCCCACTCAGGAATCCAAAGCAGGAGAAGAAAGCTGATCTGCGCACTGCTGTGGGGGCGATGGTAGGGTCCCCGAAATCCCCCCAAATCTCCTAAAGTCAGCCATCATGGGTGGGAGGACAAAAAGGGGGAGCCTGTAAGGCATAACAGGGGGGGACAGCTTTGGGGTCTCCTGGGGGGGTTCCCTTTTTTTCTTCCTGGGCTCCACATGAAGACTTGGACTGCAGGTGGATGGGGGGTGGAAGAGGCAAAAGAACAGATACCACACTCTGAGACTAGCCTATTGGGGTCTTAAATACCATTCTTTTTACAAATCCCCATTCTTTTTACAAACACAAACACTGCCAACATGTTAAAACAAGCTAGGAGAAGAAGGAAAAATGAGAGAGTTAATCAAACATGGCACACCATTCACACAGTTCACACTAATAACTTTTAAAGGGACACAATAAATGGTTCAGAAGGAAACTTTCCTTTCTCAAAGAGGTGATGAGTCTAACTGTATCCTGAATAATATATGACTTTAGTCTGACCAAAATTTATTACCCGATAACACCACTTTTGCTTCTCAATAGTAAAGCAGCCTTAGATCGGGCAGCTTGATCAGTTTTCAAGCCTCCCTTCCCTGGAACATCCAGGCAGCATTTTACAGCCCACCGTGGCTTTCTGGGGGCCTGGCCAGCTGAAGAACACGCAATGAATTTTTGACTTTAACACCAACATTTTATGGCCCTTTCCTGTTTTTATTGATTCATGTCACCAGATGCCAGACAAAGGAACGCGGGGGCGGCCTCTCATCAAGCTGGCTGTCAGCTTTTTTCCAGAAAGCTTCCTGTTTATGATACAGCTGGCAGAAGTAAAGGCCTTTTCCTTGGAGATGTCAC